AAGGCCCTTCTTGTTGGGCTCCAGGGAGTTGGCAAAGTATTGTCATCAACGAATAGAAGGAATTTGACTTGGGTTCAAGTTTTACCAAGCGCTGGTGGGGGGTTTTCCTTCCTGCCCATCCCCCAGGAGTGAGGGAGGGAGAGACAGACAGACAGACAGACAGACGGAGAGGGAGAGAGACCTGCCGGCAGCTCGCAGAGGTCACCGTCGAGCAAGTCGCGCAGCCTGTTCGGCGGCAACTGCGACGAGCGGCTCAACACAGACATCTCCCACTTCGACCACGCAGCCGCCGCCCGGGCCATGGCGTCCTGACGCCAGAGGCGAGAGAGCGGTGTGAGGGCTCGGACGCCGCCCGCCCCATGGCACTCTGAGGCAGAAAGACCAGCTGAGCAAGGCCGTGCGGGTGAGAAGCAAGACAGCGGTGGGCAAGAGAGCGGTGGGAGGGCTCGGGGGAGGAGGAGGCGAGTGCACGCGCTTGACACGGCCAGCAGGGGCCTGCTCGGTGTCACGCGGCAGCAGGGGTCTGCTAGGGGGAGCGCTCGGTGGAGTGGCTCTCTGCGAGGGCGAGTGGCGAGCTGCTCGACGAGCGCTAACGACTGTCCCACTACATGGCCTCCTTGCCAAGCTCCTCGTGTGAGATATGGGGAGATGCGGGGAGATGTGGGGAGATGTGGGGAGATTACATGGCCTCCTTGCCAAGCTCCTCGTGTGAGATATGGGGAGATGCGGGGAGATGTGGGGAGATGTGGGGAGATTACATGGCCTCCTGCCAAGCTCCTCGTGTGAGATATGGGGAGATGCGGGGAGATGTGGGGAGATGTGGGGAGATTACATGGCCTCCTTGCCAAGCTCCTCGTGTGAGATATGGGGAGATGCGGGGAGATGTGGGGAGATGTGGGGAGATTACATGGCCTCCTTGCCAAGCTCCTCGCGCAGCGCCGACGCGTACCACCGCAGGAATCGGCCCTCGTCGCCGTCGTCGTTTGGCGGCGACGGCTGCTGCTGCTGCTGCTGCTGCTGCTGCTGCTGCTGCTGCTGCTGCTGCTGCTGCTGCTGCTGCTGCTGCTGCTGCTGCTGCTGCTGCTGCTGCTGCTGCTGCTGCTGCTGCTGCGTGCGCTCTGTGTCGCAAGCGGAGGAGTAGGCGTGGAAGCCGTCGGGGATGAGCCGCCTGGTTCATTCACAGCCAAGCATCGTTACTTCAAGTCATCCGGAGGAGGCGTGGAGGCCGCCGGGGGGGAGCCGCCCGATGCCGCGGTCGCCAAAGAGCCAGAGCACCTCCTTGGTGCGCATCAGGCAGACGGCGCGCAGCACCAGGGCGCTCACCTTGGTCGGGTGCCTATCGCCAGGCTCTCTTCCCTCCGCCAGCCTCCTGCTGTCTCCTCACGGCGCTCACAGAGGGCGAATGAAATGAAATTAAATGGGGTGCCTGGCTGCGTACGCCAGGGCGAGGGTGACGCCCCACGACCCGCCGAGGACGAGGTCCCACGTTTCGATGCCGAGGTGCCTGCACCCGAACAGAGGCGACTCGAAGGGGAGAGCTGTGGGCCGGGCCAAACTCGCTGCAAAACACCTGCGCAGCGCCTCGCAATCGGCGACCAGGCTGGGCGTGTCGTTGCCCTCCAAGGAGCCGCGAGGCGTCGACTTGCCGCACCCGCGCTGGTCGAAGAGGACGACCCGGTAGTGGGTCGGGTCGAAGAACCCGGCGTGCCGCCGCGCGCAGCCGGCGCCAGGGCCGCCATGCAGAAAGAGCGCCGGAACGCCGTCCGCCTTGCCGTGCAGCTCGTAGTAGAGCGTGTGCACGGAGGAGACGGCGAGGTTCCCAGTGGTGAGCGGCGCGCCCACGGGGTATAGCTGACGCATCACGAGCGCGCGCAGCGGCGTCGGCCGCAGTCGCCGACCGCGGGTGGCGCGGACGGCGAGTGTGTGCGGGCAGCCGATGAGAGAGAACGAACCCACGAGGCTGCAGCCGGCGAGGACGGCGAGGATGGTTATCGGAGCCATGTAAATGTGCTGTTCGTGTGGTGGTGAGGCGGAGTAAAGTGCTCAGCTCGACGTCGCGAAAGGGCTGCCGCGCGGGCAGGAAACCGATTGAAGAACCGACAAGAATTCTTGGAGGTCCACCTTCTAACCCTATAAGTCCCACCGCCACCAGTTTCCGACCGTCCCACCGATTCGGTCGTTTGCACCACCAGCTCCGCCCAATGGCCAAGCGACGGCTGAACCCGGACGAGATTCGAGCGGCCGTGGAGGCGGGACACCCCCCCAGCTCGGTCAACTACGAGACCGACAAAAAATGGCATGCCGGGCAGAATCGCTGGCTCGCCAAATGGAAGCAACGCCGGCTCCCCGACAGCGGGAGCAGCCGGCGGGACCACTGGGGCGATCGAAAGCAGCAGCATGCGCGGCTGCTGCGGGCGGCGGAGAATGAGTCATCTGCCTCCTTGAAGCGCCAGCGCAAGGCCGCAGCGACACCTGCCGTGTCTGACACATAGCGGCCGTGTGCACGCTGGCCCGTCACGGCTCAAGAGGCCAAAGCCGCCACCAGAAGGTGGCAACCAGCAGGCGTACGAGCTCGCCATGGGCATGTATGGTATTGCTCGCGACACCCGGAGCAAGATGTCGAGGCGGACCAAGAGCGAAGACGCCGAGCGCAAGAGGGATGCGCGAGCGATCACGGCGATGACGACAAGTGCGAGCATTGGTTCGGCGACTACACAGAGCGCCGCTGCTGGAGCTGCCAGTGCCACCTCCAGCCAGACGGTTCCTGAAGCAGGCATGCCGGGGGTGGCTTTGCCTCCCATCCCTCCCCGCCCCACCCACCATCACCACGCGGCTTCCCCATGGTGCATGTGCATGTACATGTAGGGCCGCAGGCAGTCAAGGCCGCCAAGGAGCGAATGGAGAGGGAGCGCGAGCGGTCGCAGCGGCGGCGTGATGTGGCAAAGCTCAAAGTTAGACAAGCTATTATGAGGAACGCACGCGGATTCGGCGGCTCGATGAGCAGGTGCTCAAGGCCGTCGATGAGGCGCTGCGAGATTCTGACTATTGGCGGACCACTGGCTTCTTCAGCAGCGTGCGAGGGGATAACTACTATGACCATTGGCTGTGCCTCGCAATCAAGGAGTAGGCCGCTTCGCATGAGCCGGATGGCTCGCAGCAATGGGATGGCTGTCGGAGACTCCGTGCGGCTGCGCGATGCGGTTTGCCAGCACTGTCGACAGTCGGATCCGGTGGAGGATCAGTGAGTTACCCGCTTACTTGAGGAAAACAGCCAGGAGAAAAGGCCACACGCCGAAGGTCCCACACTAGTCAAGCCCTGATACAACAAAAAACCCCATGCCGTGCCGCGCCTAGACCGCTAACTCGAGCGAGCCCAAGCAGCCGGGACGCTCCTCTCCACCGTGATGCTCCTCGCCATCATCGTCACCACGACGTGGCTGCGGACGGGCGTCGCCCACGACATCGTGCGCCCGCTCTCCAACGTCGCCGAGATCCCTGCCTCGCCTGCCAGGAGCGGCGTCAAGCTCATCGCTGGGCAGGTGCGCGGGTAGAGCTCTCCACCATACTCTGCCGCGATCCCGGCTGCTGCGAGCACGGCGCCGCCCGGTGCGCGCGACATGACCCCTGCCGTTCCCGCGCACGCAGGTCGCCGAGGAGCACGTGGAATGCCAATGCGAAAACACGACGAATGTGCGCGCGCCTGCCGCCGCCATGCAGCCCTGCCCCTCCCCGCCGTCGATTTCGTCGCCGTCCGTGCGCGCGCCGCCGTTCACTCCGCCGCCGCCGTCGCCCCCACTTCCGCCGCCCCCGTTTTGCGCCTCGCCGCCGCCGCCGTTCTCCTTTTTCCCGCCGCCCGCGCCTCCCTCAGTCGCGCGCGCGTGCGGCTCGCCTGCGTCGCCGCCGCCCCCCCTCTCGCCGCCGCTCCCCTCACAGCCTCGTACAAGGGTGCCGCCGTCGGCGCCACAGCCTTGGCTCGCCCAAACGGTGACCCTCCCCCATCCCCCTCTGTACTCGAGAATTCAACCTTGGGCTGGGTCGAGGACAGACACGTCCCCAGCTCCCCACCTTGCAGGATTTTGCAAAAGCGAGGGTGGAGGGCGCATCGTCGCGCGGAGAGGACACACACACTCACACACTCAAGAGGGCTGGGCACAGCGCACAGGGGACAGGGCACAGGGGATCTCTCTCGCATAGGATACACACTCGGCGGCACGAGGGCAGGGCTGGGCGTCCTATTTGTGCTCCCCCCCGGTTAGGTTAGGTAGAAAGGTGAAGAACAGCCAGGCTCGGACTGGACACCAACGCAGTACGGGTGGACGCTAGACAAACTGTATCGCGCGCCTTGCGGGGCAAACACAAACACGGTTGTAAAAGGCGTGAACCGCGCCATTCGCTTACTGACTCACTCACCTCCTCCCTCCGCTCATGGCCTCCCACCGCATCGGCGCCCGCGTCTCGGGCCTCTCGCCAGAGCAGCTTTGCGACATCATCGAGGCGCAGGCGGGCGCGAGCGCCGCCGCGCTGCGCGTGGCGGAGGAGCGCGCCGCTCGGCTCGTGGAGCAGCCCGAGTGGATCCTCTCCGAGGTCCTCCTCTCGCCGGACCTCGCCTCGCACATCCTCGCCCAGCTGCCGACCACGGAGCACGCCGTCAAGGGGGCATGCCGCGCGTGGCGCCGCGGCTGGAAGGAGACGCTGGCGAAGCGCCGTGCGGAACCGCGCCTGCTGGTGGTTGGCGGCATCGGCACAGACGGCGATTACCTCACTTCGATGGTGCGGCACGACCCTGCCTCAAATGCGTGGGCGGAGGAGGACCTGGCGCCGATGCTGACGGCACGAAAGGAGTTCGGCATGGCGGTGCTCGACGGCAAGCTATACACTGTGGGTGGCGAAAGTCCCGAGGGCCTCAGCCTCAACTTGGTCGAGCGGTACGATCCAGCGACGAACGCGTGGGAGGCTGCTGCACCATTGGCAGGCCCGAGCCACAACCAAGGGGAGGACCCAGATGACATCGGGAGGATCGGGCACGGAATGGCGGTGCTCGACGGCAAGCTGTATGCGGTGGGCGGCGACAACAGCTACGGCCTCAGCTCGGTGGAGCGATACGACCCAGCGCAGGATGCGTGGGAATTGGTGGCACCGATGGCGACGATGCGGGACATGGTTGGCGTGGCGGTGCTCGACGGCAAGCTGTACGCAGTTGGCGGGTACGGGCCTAATGACAACGATTTGTTTGCCAGCCTGAGCTCGGTCGAGCGATACGACGCCGCGACGAACGCGTGGGAGGCGGTGGCGCCGATGGAGTCTGCTCGGAGTGCTTCTGGCGTTGCGGTGCTCGAAGGCAAGCTGTACGTTGCGGGCGGCTACAACGACGACGGCTACCTCAGCTCGGTCGAGCGGTACGACCCGGCGCTGGACGCGTGGGAGGTGGTGGCGCCGATGGCGACAGCGCGGGCTCATCTCACTGTTGCTGTGCTCGACGGCAAGCTGTACGCTGTTGGCGGCGAAGACGGCGACGACTACCTCAGCTCCGTCGAGCGGTACCACCCCTCTTCGAACGCGTGGGAGGCAGTGGCACCGATGGCGATGGCGCGGACATGCCACAGCGCTGCCCTTCTCTGAAACGCCGGTGTCCGCTGGACGATCTTTTTTGAGCTGTCGTGTGCAGTCACCCGCTCCTCTCTGCAGTCTCGATTTAAAACCACATAACACCCCGCACTCTTTTCCCTCTCCACACTCCAGATGTCCAGTCTCCTTGTGTAGGTGTACCCCATGCATTGCTACCAGAGGCTAAAGCCGTATGAGCCGTACGCTAGCTCAGCTCTACTGCTTAGCCACCAGCTACCGCTTCACCTCTCGCGGCAACTCGTGCAGTCGCCCCCCTCACCGACGCGGTTCCGGTGTGTCACTTCCGCGAGGGAGTGTCAGTTCCGCGAGCATGTCACGCGATCGAACCAAGGCCCAAAATCGCCGCCCTTCTGTCTCCCGTGTGCACGCAGGAAAACCTTCAAGCGGCGACGTAGGGCGTGCTCTCCCGTCCTCCCTCCCCATCGTGGCCCTCGGTGACGGCAAACAGCGGTCCGGAGAGCGCCTTGACGGCACGCGTGGGGGCCACCAGCAAGCCCACCGCCGCGGCAAGCGCCGCTGCACCGACCGAGGCGAGTGCGTAGAGGAGCAGGGAGCGCCCGGGCGCGGGCTCGGGCGTCGCGTCCAAAGGCGAGGGTACCGCGCTGAGCGTCGGGGCGCCGACGGGTGGTGCACCCCCCTCGAAATCCTCGTCTTGCAGCGTCATGGCTAGGAGGAGAGGGTGCTCGAGCACGCTTGGCTCGGGCCCCTTCACCGGCGCATCGTCTGGCGACTTCGGGTTGTAGTATGGCGAGTTGGTCACGTTTGAGCCGGGCTGCCCTTTGCACCAGTCGCACTGGTGGCACGAGCTGGCGTAGCAGTGCGAGGGCGACTTGCCGGGCATGTGCACGTCAGGAGTGCACCAAGACTCGCACTTGCTCAGCGCGGGGTCAAAGTGCGTCTTTGGGAGAGGGATGGCGCCCGGCTCTGCACGCACCTGTGGCGAGGCGGAAAGGCGGTCGCCTCGCCAGGGGAGCTCACGTGTTGGCATGTTTGGGCAGCGGGCCTGGTGCCACGCCGACGGATTGGACCACGGCTCCAGAGATGAGGCGCACTCCGAGTCATTCTTGCCCGCAAAGCCCATCTGCATCTGTTGGGCCAGGACAAGGCATGTACGTATGTTGAGAGGGAGAGGGAGGACGAGGTTCTCGACGCGGCTGCCGGCCGGTGAGCAGAGGCCAATCTCAGAGGGGCGGCCGATTGGGCGATGTGGTTCGCGATGGCGCTCGGTAGGGGACAGATCGCACCATCGAGAAGGCGGTGGCGTGCCAGTGGTGGTCGGACGAGGGCCGCTTGAGCAGGAGCTGGAACATGATGTCGTAGCACCTGCCGTGCGTGTACTCTGGCAGGTCGACCTACAGTGGAGAGCTCAGGCAGGGCTCAGGCAAAGGTAGCGGCGCTTACAGCGTGTGCACCGCTGCAGGGCCGACCCATTGCGAGTAGGGGCAGTAGTTGGGGAAGGCGGGCGCGTTTGGGTAGAGCGTCTTCAGCAGCCAGGTGATCCACCAGTGCTGCCACGAGATCATGGCCGTCGCACCCGCGGGCAAGCCAAAGATGTATTGCACAAACCGCTCGGTGTCGGCCATGTGCACCTGCGGACGCGGACGTGTCGGACGACCGTCACCATCGGACCAGGCTACTGTGCTGGGGTGCTAGCCTGGCCAGCGACCGCGTGGGGAGCAAGGGCGAGGAGGCAGTCGTCACGTTGTTGCCAAGGTGCAGGCCCAGCTTTTTTGCGAGCGGCTCGATCGTTTCGTACGGCCGCACCGACTTTGGTTCTCCGTGCGGCCCGATTCGCAGGCTCGAAAGGAGGTGTGTCGGCGGCCCCAGGGGAAAGGCGAGCGATGGCGTGACTTTGGAGGCGCACTTGGCAATGTATTGGGCCCGAGTGTGGCCTGCGCAACGAGCAAGGGTGTCACCTCTGCACGGGCTTGACGACGAGTGGTGTGGAGGGCAGCTGTGGGCACCGTCAGGAGCAAGGTGTGGGTTGGCCTTGTCGTCTGTCCGCTCTCCATGTCGGATGAGGTTAACGATCGCCCACTCGGTCGCGCTGCAGCCCGCAAACAGGGAGGCCAGGAGGACGCGCATCGTGCACGCAGACCAAGAGTAGACTCGTCACGAGCAGGCGACACTGGTGGGTGAAGTCGCGAAGTGCTGCACCCTCCCGTCGGCGTCGCAATTATAATGAGTTATTGGGACGTACCTTTGGGGTGTTTTTTGTGATCTGTGAGCTGTGATCTGTGAGGGTCCGCCCGCAGGCGCATTTTGTATACCGAGGCGTTGCCCGGTGCTGAACCTGTCGGACCTTAAGACAGCATTGTAGATCCCTGGGCGAGGGTCGTCGCGGGGGAGAGCGAGGGCGCGGTATATCTGTCCACTGAGCACTCTGTCGTGTCGGCGCGGTCAAACCACATCCCACCAGAGTGGTGGGCAGGTTCCACGCGTTCAATTGGACGTACTATTTCTTCTTCACACAGCTCGTACGGTAAAATTACCAGCGCTGCCACACCGCTGCGCCCTCTCCTACTATCATATCGCGCCCCAGTTCCGCAACTCGCTCTCGGCTGTGACGGCCCGCCGCGAGACCCCGCGAGGGCGAGAAACGCTGCTCATCGGAACGCCGCATAATCCCCCCCAGTCGCTGGCGCCGCTGCTGTGGAGCCCCTGTGGCGGCGAGCGAACAGCGCCGCCGCGACGACCCAGCCGGTGGCAGCCATCACCCATGGAACAGCCGCCATCGACGTGGCCGCAGGGCCTCCACCTTCGACGAGCGGCGGCGGTGCCACGGAGGTGCCGCGTGTGGTGAGGGATGTCACTGGGTTGGGAGCGCCCTCGGGTAGCACACACCGGCCGGTAGGGCCAGGGAGGCAGCTGAGCCCATAGTCCGCGCCGCCTGGCAACTCGCCAACCTTTGGCACGGTGAGACCTGGTGCTCGTTTTGGACCGCGTAGTTCCCGTCAAAGTAAGCATAGGTGTGCGCGACCTGCTTGACGAAGCCCGCCGGCTTGGTCAGACTCTGGCCGGGCAGTGGTTCGTAGGTGGAGCCACGCGACTTGCCGACAAAGCGCGGCCAGTCCTCGTCGTCAGGCCACACGGGCCGCCATGCGGTGGCGTTGTCCGACAGGTCATGGTCCTTGGCAGGCACGTAGCTGATCCGAGGGTCCTGCAGGGCGGGGCGGGGCGGGGCGCTATGGGCCGACCGCAACGGGCTCGCCCGACAGCGCGGGGCTGGTGCGGACGCGGCGCAAGGCCCGAGCGGTGCGGTGATGGGAGATGCGCACTGACGAGCCGGCGCCGTCGTCGCTGTGGGAGACGATGACGCTTCCGTCCTTGGTGGCGCCCTTGCCGGCGGCGTACGCCGTGCAGGCCTTGGCAGTGCCGAGGCTTGCGGCTAGAAGCGCGATGAACACGCGGCGCGCGAACATATATGGTAGTGGGGGGGGGGGGAGCAATCGCCGCCGACCGACGTCGGTCGGACGCACGTCGCCGCCGAAAATCCGCGAAATTCTTTTGCGGAGAGGGTGTGTTATGTAAATTCTTTTCCATTTTCCTTTGAGCTTAGCCTTCGATGTAATGAAACAATGCAAGGCGGACATGGCATATCGCTCTCGGGCTCACAGACATCCCTCACACCCGCCGCACACCCGCCGCCCCCCCGCGCGCCCCACCCCGGATAGGGTAGCTCAGAAAAAAATCGCGTCTGCAATGCTCACACCCACGGAGAAGGGGCAACTCCGTGCACTGACGGTCGGCCGCCAGAAACCACGCCTGCGTGGATCGCGTCACACCAATCCTCGCTAATACCCAACGCGGCCAAAGGATATCCACCTCGAGAACCTCGCATAGCGGCCACTCTTCGCACTTCGGATCGCTGGTCGAGCGACCCGGGGGATGCCCCGCGCGCCTGACCCAGGCGCGAAAACGAATCTGCGAGGCGTGGCCGCTCACGCGGCCCGATGGGGAGGAACGGGGCGAGCTCCCTCCAACCCACCCGCGCTAGGTCTCGGGGGACGAAGGGGTCACACCCGACGACCTCGGGAACTAGCCGGGGCAGTCGGAGAAGTGGCAACTCCGTGCACTGACGGTCGGCCGCCAGAAAACACGCCTCCGTGGCTCGGGTTACACCAATCCTCGCTACCCAACGCGGCCAAAGGATATCCACCTCGAGAACCTCGAGAGAACCTCGAGAGAGGTAGCACAGAAAAAAATCGCCCCGCAGTGCGGAACCTCCTGCAGGGCAGGGCCGCATGCTCTTCGCGACCACCCTCCTCACGATCCGGACGCCGCTGCGAGCTCCACCCATCCGAATGCAGCTCAACAACATGATTCGAACCCTTATGGGCGGCGGCGGCGGCAATGGCGGCGGCGGTGGCATTGCTGTGTCAGCCGAGCGCCTTGAGGACGCTGCGCCGTCGTGGGAGGCGCTGGCCGCAAAGCTCGACACGGCCTCGACGGACGACGAGCGCGCCTTCCGGCAGGACCTTGAGTCCGGCCGTGCCGCACGCGCCTGCTCGCTCGCGTCGCAACGGCTGTTTGACCTTCCGGACGGCGAGGCGCCGAGGCTGACGCTCTTCCGCGACACCGCTGCGTGGTGTCCGTACTGCGAGAAGGTATGGCTCGTGCTGGAGGAGAAGCGGGTGCCGTATGAGGTGAAGAAGGTCAACATGAACTGCTACGGTGACAAGCCGGCCTGGTTCTGGGCGATCCAGCCGTCGGGAGGGATCCCCGTCGCAAAGCTTGACGGGCAGGCGAGGCCCTCCACTTCCCAGACACCCCACAGTCACCTCCCACGTCGCAAAGCTTGACGGGCAGGCGAGGCCCCTCCACTTCCCAGACACCCCACAGTCACCTCCCCCTCCCAAAGCTTGACGGGCAGGCGAGGCCCTCCACTTCCCAGACACCCCACAGTCACCTCCCAAGATCCCCGCACCGCTCGCACACAACAGTAAACGGACTCCGCGGACCGGCAGGTGATCCGCGAGTCGAACGACATCATCATGGCGGTCGAGGAGGCCTTCCCTGACAGGAACGCTGCCGGCACTCCCACACGCCTCGTCTCTAGGGCCCACGCCTCTCTTTTGACACGAGGAGCTGCTGCTCGCACAGGCCGCTGCTGCCGCAGGGCGACCCGCGCGTCCGCCCGCTGCTCAGCCTCGAGCGCGAGCTCTTCTCTGCCTGGTCCCGCGATTAGCCGAGATTAGCCGAGATTAGCCGAGCTCTTCTCTGCCTGGCTCCCCCTCCTCCCATCCCTCCTCTCCATGCAAAAATGCGTCAAGGAGGACTCCCTCTGTGGCCGAGTAGGTTCCGCTGGCTCACCTCCTCCGCGTCCGAGGGCGCACAGAGGGCCAACTTCGAGGCGCTCCTCCGCCGCGTGGACGGCGAGCTCGCCGCAAGCGGCGGACCGTACTTCCTCGGCGCGGATCTCTCGCTAGTCGACTGCATGTTTGCGCCCTTTCTGGAGCGGATGGCCGCGTCGCTCCCCTACTACAAGGCGCTGACGCTGCGGCGCAACGACGGCTGGCCCCGCATCGAGCAGTGGTTCCTCTAACCCTAACCCTAACCCTAACCCTAACCCTAACCCTCTAACCCTAACAACCCTCTAACCCTAGGTTCCTCGCGATGGAGTCGTGCGCCTCCTCGAGCGGCAGGCGCCTTAAGGCTGTGAGCGGCGTCTCTTCACACCTGCAGCTGTGAACAGGCGCCCCTCGTACCGGCACGTCCAGTCCGACTTTTACACGCACGTCCACGACCTGCCGCCGCAGGCGCCACCACACACACGCCGCGGTCGTCTCCCGCAGACCACCACCACGCCCCCGTCACACATGCGCGCCACCACCACGCACCTCGGCACCGCCCTCGCCGGTCTCCCTCGCCGGTCTCTCACCCTCGCGCGGACGGCGCCTCAGATCGGGCGCTGCCAGTCGGTGCCGGAGGCGGAGGAGTTCGCCGCGGAAATCGACGGCTCGGACGGGAGCTGGTCGCTGCCGCTGCCGGAAGACGACGGCTCGCTGCTGCAGCCGCTGCAGGGGCTCGGCGCCGGCGCCGACGCGGCGCGGAGCGAGTAGGCGGCGCGAACGCCGCCTCCTCCACGGGGCACACCGTCTCTTGGGCGCGATCGTCCTCTGTTTAGGCGCGGCGCGAGGCGGCGGAGCGGCTCCTCCACAACCACGAGGCGATCGGCCGCTTCGCTGCGCGCGGCCTGAGCGCCCCCGGCGTGCCTCCCGCCTCGCAGCCGCTGTGCTCCCCCCCTCGGCCGCTTTTCACTGCCGGGAGAGGTGACGAGCAGGCTTTCCGCCCGTGGCGGCGGAGCTGTCCGACCCGAACGCCGCGCCCGCCGAGGAGGCGCTGCCGGTCGTGGATGCGCTGCTGCGGCACACAACGCACGCCCTGCTCGACGGCGAGGGCGACGCGGGCGCGGCGGCGCTCTCGCCCGACACGCTGTCTGGCGGCATCGAGCCACGCGCCGCTGCCGCGAGCCTCGGCTACCTGCGCGACCGCATCTCGGTGCCGAGAGACATGAGCTACCCGGCGGCGCGCCAGCTGCGAGCCCACCTCAACGGTGTGATCGAGGGCGTCGGCGCAAAGGCCGCGGCGGCGGCCGCGGCAGCCTCGTAACAGGGACCAGACGTAGCCATGTGAGGACCGAGGAACAGCGCAGCGAGGTCAGAGCCAGCCCGGCATCGCGCACTGGGCTCCAAGGAATCACAACTTTTGGTGCATTTCATTTTGTCCGACTCGGCCTGTCGTTGGGAGTTGTAGGTCGGGTGTCTCTCTGCGGGGAAGATCTCGGAGAGTCGTGGCCTCGTAGGAGAGAGTCGCATGATCACACACATGGACACATGCCGCCGCCCCCGCGCACATGCGGCTAGCGGCTTGCGGGGCTCTCTTGAGAACTCGGCTCTGGCTGAGGTCATGGTGACCAACAAACGGGTGGAAATGTCGGAATAGCCTTCCCGTAGGAGCCAGAAAACGGCTCGCACACCATGTAAAAGCTCTCAGCGAGCTCTCTCGAAGCCACATCTCAGTTTTCGAAGCAACTTCGCGGTTGAAAAGTTAGTTATGTTGCGTACCAAAATCGCGTGAACGCACGGCAAAACAACGAACTCGCCGCTCGATATGGCCTCCCCGCCGCCGTCGCCCAACCCTTCCGAGATGCGGCAAGACCACTTTTGCTGCCGGGTGGTACTGGAATTCCGATCACACCGAGAAGGCTTGCGACGCAAGTGCATGCGGGATGTCGGTCACCTGCCACCACTTACTTGCCAGCGACAAGGTTGCCGGGTCCATTGACGCAGACTTGCTGGAGATTGAAGAGGTGCTCGGCGTGCGATACTGCGATCCGAGCCAGATGACTGCGGTGGCGCTGAGGAACCCTGTCGATGAAGACGACGAGCGCTTAGAGTACCTCGTCTCTGGCAGGTTCGGCAGTGGTCCCGACGACTGTGGCTTCCATTCTGTCGCTTGGGTTTTTCACGGCGATGCTGGACCATGCAGGTGCGGACACGGTCAAGTCAGCGATACAAGAGTACAAGGACCGGCTGGATAAGGAGTTCACGGAGCTGGCGAAGGCGTGTGACGAGGCTGATGATGAGTAGCCGCACCAGCGCAGCGCAGCGGCGGAGTGTGCGACCAGGGCCGGTGGTAGACAGTGGACGCGGTGAGGCTGCTCTCTGAGCAGTGAAACCAAGCCAAGAGGATCATGAGTGTAATCTGGGTCATTTGTATCACAATATCACCACACCGCCACGCTCGCAAGGGCCGCCTAAGCGCCTAAGCACCCTAAGCACCCCCCGCTTAGGCCGCTTAGGCGCTTAGGCGAGTGACGGCCGGCAGCCCGGGGCCTGGCGTGCCTCCCCCGTGGACTGAGCGCCTGGGAGAGCCACTCACGGCCGGCGCCTCGCTAAAGGCTGTCCCGACATCCACTTGATCACCATGACCTCAGCCAGAGCCACTCTCCGCCGAAAAATGTCGCATATTTACACCCCATACGCACAAGACTCAACACCGGTCACCGCGGCTACCGCACGAGGGAATGGGCAGACTCAGTAGCAGACTCAGTAGTCCCAGACGGACTTCATGAACCGCATCGCCCAGTTCTGGTAGCCCTCGAGTATCACAAAGGCGACGAGGATGTACCTCACCCCGCTCGTGATCGGGTGGCCCCCGTGCAGCACCCCGCTCGCGTGGCAGCACACCTAAAATGGATAAGGGGCGCGCTGGAGAGAGAGGTGTGAAGAGCCTGGCGGGGAAGGCGATGGTAGGGAGAAGAGGGCACGGCACGCACGTGGCCGCGCTCGATCGGCAGCGCCTCGCCGAGCCCGTCGAACCAGGTGCCGCCGCCCTCGTACTCGCACCGCTCGTTGAGCGCGATGTTGAAGGAGACGACCGAGCCGTCGCGGTGCGGCTTCAGGTGCGTCTGCCCTCCCGCCGCGTCATATTTCACTATGAACGCGTCCGCCACCCGCAGCGCGCGCCAGTTTGGCAAACTCTCCTCGAAAGCGGCGCCGAGCATCGGGTAGATCCGCTTGGGCAGCGCGTCGGTGTTGAGGAACCAGCGCGTCGCGGGCAGCTCGGAGAGAGGGATGTCAATTGTCGGGTGGTTAAAGTGCCGCCTCGACGTCCAGCCGCCCTCGCGCGCCGCCCACTCCTCCGACTCTGCCACGATCGCAGCGCACTCGGCCGCGCTGAGGAGCGGCTCGGTGGTGGTGTGGATGAGGCAGTCGCCGTCCGGGTGCGGCACGTGCGAGGCCAGGGGCACGCGGCGGAGCGGCGCATCAGGCGCAAGCGGCTCAAAGAGCTTGATCGTCTCCTTGTAGGCCTGGTTGTGCCGTTCGGAGACGAGCGCCGGAGGCGCGCAACGTGGAGGCCGTGCCGCTCGCAGAGCGAGCCGCGGCGTGAGAGCGAGGCCCGACGAGAGCGAGAGGAGCAGGCCGAGCAGCATGCTGCAAATGTCCACTTCCACCTTCTCTCGCGTAGAGTGGAAAAAGAAATTTGCACGCGCCTGACACGACACTGGGCACGGGACTGGCGCGCACTGGCAAAAAAGAATTTAATGAGTAAACTCCCTCGGTCAGACCCCCCCCCCCCCAGCAGCAGGGGCGGGGGTACCGAGAGCAGTGACCTAGGCGGCAGTGACCAGTGTGCGGCCGCTCTAGGGGCCTAGACGCTAGAGAACACAACACCCCTCTCCCTTTTCTCCCGACCCAAAATGGTTTTTTTGATCAAAAGGACCGAGACGACGTGTTGTACATGTGCATGTGCATGTACATGTGCATGTGCATGTGCATGTGCCTTGCCCCCGCCGGCGCGCCTCGCGCACCTTCGCGCTCACCCTCCCTGCTCCTCGACCTTCTTGGGCAGCAGCTGGTTCAACAGGTCCTCGCCGTGGCCCAGACTGCCGGAGGCTCCACGGCCCCAGCTCCAGACAGCGCCGTCGGCGGTGAGGGCGAGGCTGTGGTGGACTCCCGCCGAGACAGCGACGATGTGATGGCCAGGAAAGGCCTCGACCTTCTTCGGCAGCAGCTGGTACTGCGAGTCGCCGTGGCCCAACTTGCCATAGAGTCCGCCGCCCCAGCTCCAGACGGCCTCGTCGGCGGTGATGGCGAGGCTGTGGGCAATTCCAGCCGACACAGCGACGACGCGCTGGCCAGCAAAGGCCTCGATCTTCTTTGGCAGCAGCCGGTCCTGCTCGTCGCCGTGGCCCACCCGGCCAGAGTCTCCATCGCCCCAGCTCCAGACGCTGCCGTCGGCGGTGATGGCGAGGCTGTGAGCACCTCCAGCCGCCACGGTGACAACGCGCTGGTCAGCCAAGGCCTCGACCTTCTTCGGCAGCAGCCGGTCCTGCGCGTCGCCGTGGCCCAACCGGCCGTTCCCTCCATGGCCCCAGCTCCAGACAGCGCCGTCGGCGGTGAGGGCGAGGCTGTGGCGGGATCCAGCAGACACGGCGACGACGGGCCGCCCCGCCAAGAACTCGATCTTCTTTGGCAGCAGCTGGCGCTGCTCGTCGCCGTGGCCCACCTTGCCAAAGATTCCATCACCCCAGCTCCAGACGGAGCCGTCGGCGGTGATGGCGAGGCTGTGCACGGCTCCAGCAGACGCAGCGACGACGCGCCGATCAGCCAACGCATCGATCTTCTTGGGCTGCCGCTGGTCCTGCGAGTCGCCGTGGCCCAGCTGGCCAAAGCCTCCATCGCCCCAGCTCCAGACAGCGCCGTCGGCGGTCAGGGCGAGGCTATGGCCGACACCAGCCGACACGCTCGCGGCGCGCTCGCCGCCCAGCTTCGACGGGAGGCGGGTCGGCGTGTTGAGCCGCGTCGCACCCTCGCCGTGCCCGAGTAGCCCTGGAAAGCCTGCCTCACTGCCGCACGATGAGAGCCGCCCCTCGCCGTCAATGAAGACACTGTGCCGCTTTCCTGCCGCAGCCCTCGCCGGCGGGTTGGACTCGCACAGCAGCGCAGAATAGCACAGCCACCGCACAGCGCAGGTCTCGCCCTCTGGCTGCGCCGGCAGCTCGAAGCCGCGCTCGTGCGCCCACAAGCGGATGCCCTGCTCCGCGAGCGAGTGGAAGAGCAGCGAGACGGCCGCGACGCGAGCGATGTCGGCGGGGTCGCAGCGAGAGAGGGCGCGCTCGAGGAGGTCCGTGGGGAGGTCGAGGAGGCGGGCGGGCGGCGGCGTGTCTGGCGAGGGGGCGGCGGTGGCAGCGGAGGCGAGTCGGCGCGAGCGGCGGCGACGTGGGGTGGACATCGCGAGAAAATGCGCCGCGCTCGCGTTGCGCAGCTTGGCCTGTACGAGGGTTTCCGGCAACCCAGAGGGAAACCAGAGGGTCCCCAGCACTTTGCGTTTCCGGAAGTTTCCAGGGAAACCAGAGGGTGTTTGGTGCTCCATTCTGTTTCTCTCGAGTTTCCCTCGGGAAACTCGCGAGTTTCCCTGACTGAGTCTGAGAGCTGGTCTGGGGCAAAATCTGGGGCAAAATTGAGGAAATCGGCACGATACCCAGGTATTTTCCAGGTATACCGGGGTTTTCCAGGTATACCCGCAAAATACCCGGTATTTTGCCGATTTTGGCCCCAAAACAGCCTCAGACACGGCTCAGAGCCCCCCCAAAATGACGAATTCCACGGAGTTTCCCCGGGGTTTCCCGAGGAAACTAGAGGGTGTTGTAGGGAAACGAGCAGGAAACACGGAAAGGAAACCAGGTAGGGTGCGAGAGGAAACCCTCGTACAGGCCAATGCGCAGCTAACAGAGCGAGTTCGCGCTGCGCTAGGCTCATCATCAGACGGCGAGTTCGCGCTGCGCTAGGCTCAGTACGGCGAGTGCGCTCTGTGGACAGAGGCTCTATGTGGCCTGTGTGCGGCCTGCACCGCTCTATAGGCTCTCTTGCGGGGATTTTATCTCTCCGACCCCTCCGAGCTCTCCACCTCTCCCAAGCCCTCACGAGCCCTCCTATGGGCAGCGCGTGCCGCGCCGCGGCGTCCCCTGGACACGACCCGGTCGCCGGCGCGGGGGGTCGCCTTGAGACCAGCTAGTCTCCGCTCTCTCACACTGCTCACTCACAAACACTAGAAAAGGACAAAGAATGGTCTGCTTTAAAGAACCCCCCCCCCCAAAAAACTCAGTCAGGCTGCACAGGCCGGGGCCTCCAGTCCCGGCTGCGAGGCGAACCAGGAGGAGATGGCGGACTCGTACTTGGCGGAGGCGGCAAAGGCGGCGGCGGCGAAGCTGCGCCGGAGCGCGTGCGAAGTCGCGCCGTCGTACTTCTTCATGTCCGCGATGATCTCGCCGTAGCGGCTCGGATCGACGCAAACCGTCACCGCCTTGTGGTTCTTCGCGCTCGAGCGCAGCATCGAGGGCCCGCCTAACGTGCCCACCACACACTGCTAAAAACTTGGCTTCGCGGCCGCCCTACACCCCGCCACGGCAGCCCCGCGCCAATGTCAATGTTTTCGATGCACGTCTCAAAGTTGGAACCCTTTGCCACCGTGGCCTCAAAGGCGTAGAGGTTGACAATCACCAGGTCGATGTTGCCGATGCCGTGCTCCGCCATGGCCGCCTGCGCGGAGAGAGTGCACACGGCGGCAGCCGGTAGGAGCAGTGGAGGGGGCGAATAATCGTGGTGCCGGGCGGTGATCGTGGATCAGACAATGGGCCCTTCCTCTTTGGCGATAAATCCGCCGGCTCGCGCCACATTTGACTCCGTTGACGCGTGCCGGTGCCGTTGGCACGGGGGCAAACCCGCAGGGCGGGGTTTCTTCAGCTCCACGTGAGCCGTGAGATTGAGGGCGCAGGGCGCGGCGCGCCTCGTGCGCCGCGTTGCCACGGACACCAAGGAGGCCGCCATGCACCTTGGGGTGCAGCGTCTTCACGCGCCCGTCGAGCATCTCGGGGAATCCAGTGTACTCAGACACATCCTTGACCGGCATGCCTGGAGGCGCGGTGCGGGCGGAGATGGAGAGGCGGCCATGCGCCGTGCCCTCTCCCTCCCTCCCTCCCTCCCTCTCTCTCGGCTGGCACTGGCGCACCCGCCTCCCGGATTGTCTTGGCGGTGCCGCCGGTGGAGAGCAGCTCAACGCCCTTCTCGTGGAGGAATTTGGCGAGCTCGACGAGGCCAGTCTTGTCCGAGACGGAAAGAAGCGCACGCTTCACGTGCACCAGGTCAGTGACGGAGCCTTCCACAGACGCGAGAGTGGGCGCGCCCATCGTGCTCGGGTGCGGCGGAGGGGCAAACCGACGGCCCGGAGCTTCCGTTCCGGGCGGTACCATTGGATTGGGGAATCAAACTCATCAAACGCCCCCCCCCCCCCCCACCCAAAAGACACGAATCTCTCCATCCCAAACTGTCACTCCCCTTTCTCCCGGGCGCGCGCGCGGGGGCGGCGGGTGTGCGGGATGTGCGCGCGCGCGTCGTGAGTGGCGGCGCGCGCGCGATCTCCGTTCCCGGGCACGCCGGTCGCAGTGGCATGGGCTCCCAGGCTCAAAAGCGCTCCCGTCAACAGCGAGCGAGCGCCGCCGCTGCTCCTCCTCCCGCCGCCGCTCACCGAGACTCGGTGCCGCCGTTGTCTCCACCGCCGCCGCCGCCGCCGCCGCCGCCGCCGCCGCCTCGCGCCTCGCCTCCGTCACCGCCGCCCTCCATCTCGCAGCGGCGCGTCCCTCTGATGGCGCGGGCGCCTCGCTCACCGGCGCCTCGCCGCCCCCCCCCCCCCTTCTCGCGCCGCTCCGCTCGTGGCCGCCGCCTCCCCTGTCAATCCCGCCGCCTCCCCTGTCATCCCGCCGCCCGCACCACCGCCGCCACCGCCTCGCGCCTCGCCGCCGCCGCCACCGACCGCCCTCCCCTGCGCCGCTGAGCGCGGTGCAGGGGGTGAGCCCCCGCTGCGCAGCCTCACCGCAGTGCACTGCGCTCTCCGCGCCCCTGACGATTAGTGAGGAGGTGGTGTTGCACAGCATGGAGCTCGGCGAGCGTTTAGCGAGCCCCGCAGCTAGTTATGATAAAGAAATAGAGCACGCAACCCCTGCTTGGGATAGGGCTCCAACCCGACAGGCAGACCCCGGCAGACCCCGCCCCGCTCGGACTGGGTCGACTGGGGCACGGTGCCATCGCCGAGGCCGACATAGAAAACGCCTGGCGGGACCACGGCCAGCGCGCCGGCGGCGATTTTTCGTGCGGCCCGTTTCCCTCCAACCGCTCCAGCGCCTCCGCTCACCTCCTCGTGGTGCTGCGCGGCCAGGCCTTCCGCACGGGCGGCCAGCACTCGCGGAGAAGCGCCGAGAGCGGCAGCACTCAGTGGCGAGCGTTGAGAAGCGTGCGGTCACGTGTCCTGCTTCCGGCGGTCCGTCAGCCACGCCGCCACCATGCGTCACCACCCACCACCTCCACCTCATCGCCAGCTCCGCGCTCCAGGCGCGGTCTGGCTGGGCCTGCACCGTGTTGGTCGACGTGGTCGCGTCCGAGCGGCATAGCGCCGCTCTACGGGCACGCGCTGTCCACGAGCTGCGCGCGGCGGCGGTGCGCGTGACATCGCAGCTGCGCGCGAGCCAGATGCTCTCGATTGCCTATACGTTGCAGTGGGCGCTCTCCCATCACTTGGGCGAGGGAGGAGCTGCCTCCTCCTCCTCCTCCGAGCTGGACGCTCAGCCGGGAGAGCAGCGAGGGCGGACCGAAGACATCCGGAGTTGGAGCTGCCTCCTCCTCCTCCGCGCTGACCTCGAAGTCAAGGCGCTGCCGTTGCCGCACCCCGCGGCGCTCGGTTGCCGGCTCCGTGTCCCGTTTGAGACGCTCGACGGGCGCGGCGTCGCCGGCGCAGCACATCTGGCACGAACAGCGTCAGCTCACCCGTCCCTGCGGTGAAGAACAGGCGCGGCGTCGCCGATGCGGCGCAGCTGGTGCCGTGGTGCCGCTTTGGCGCCTTTTTCGCGGCGGTGGCGCGGCGGGCGGCGCAGGCGCGCGGCGGACGAGAGACAAAATAACGACAGCTGGAGCGACAGGATGGGAGAGGGGCTACACTTTGGGCGCTTGGGCCCGGCTATCCCTGCCCTCCCCCTCGCTGTCTTGCCGTGGCGCTGATCAGGGTACTGGCGGCGGCAGGTGCATCCGAAGCCTTGCGGCGAGCGGTCAGTGCGCTGCTTTGGCAGCGACCATCTCCACTCGCTCTGTGAGCTGCTTCCCGACGTCGCCTACCTGACCCCGCTGCGGTGGCCCCTTCTCCGTCCTCCCCTCCACGCCTGCCACCGAGCTCCCAACCCGTCCTAGACTCCGCCACTCAGCTGCCATCGAGCCCGCTCTCCCCCCCCCCCCCCTCTGCCCTCTACGCCCCTCCCCCGACTTCCGCCGCCCTCGCCGCCGTCTCTGCTGCCCCCGCAGGTATGACTCCAACTCGGCCAAGGACCGGAACCCCGTCTACGCGATGGTCGGCCGGCCGCAGCGCGCCGCTGGTGCCCTTGCAGAGGGAGGGGCGTCGAGCTGCCGCGAGTAGGCGCCGTTCACAGCCCGTTGCCGTGAACAGGCGCCGTGGAGGAGGAGCTGCACAGACGAGGCTTGCCCGGCCGTCCTCGCAGCACGGGGCGCGTGATCGGCTTCTCGCAGCCGCGCGGAAGCGCCGCGAAGCCGATCAGGCGACGAGACCTCCGATAATTAGCCTCTGACCATTAGTTTTGTTCAGTGACGTACGGCCCGGTGGCTTGCCTGCTCAGCCGTTTGCTACTCACTAGGTGCCGGACGAGCGCCTCGCCAGATCGCGGCTGCGAGCGCGGCTGCCCGTCCCGCGAGACGCAGAGCGTGTGGCGCGCACTGGCGCGGGCGGGCGAGCGGGCGGGGACGACGAGCGCGCTATTCGAGCTCGGCGCTGCTCTCGCAGGGCCGTGACCGGGACCGCGAGAGACTACCGCTTGAGTGCACGAACAAAGACGCATGAGCGCGCGACACGAGTCTCGCTCTAGCTCAGAGAGACTCTCAGGCGATCGATTTGCTAAGATTTTCCGCGGCAAACGACATCGATTTTCATAGAAAAGAGATGTGGGGCAGCGTGGGGGGGTCCGCCGAGGCGGAGGCACGCGCGATCCGCGAAAGCGGGGCGGCGGGGGCGACTGTGCGTGTGCGCAGTGCTACATGGCCCAGCTCCTCGCGCCATCGCCCACACTCGAGCTTTGCAGCGCGCGGGCTCACACTCTACTATAGGCCCCCTCGACGCCCACTTCGAGCTATACTCAGCTAAGGGCCGCACTTGACGCTGTCAGCAGCGCGCGGCGAAGCAGTTTGGCGCTTGTGGTGAATCAAATGGGAATCTAGCCCAAGGTCGGAGAGTCGTGTCATAGGAGAGGAGAGAGTGTGGATATGTTTTGTGCGGGATCAGGCCCGAGTCCCTAGTGTCGCCGGAGCAGTAGCTCCCTTTTTCGTAACAGGAACAGTTTTTTTGCGTGTGCGCAGTGCGGCCCCCGCCCCACCCTCTCACCGATATTCACTCCACAGCCGGGCTGATCTCCAACGCCCCTCCATTCCCCTGCATCACTTCACACCTCAGCCCGCGGTGGCGCGCGTGCCGCACCAGTGCCTCGCGCAGTTTGGCCTCACCGCTCGTGCTGTGCCTCCCACGGCCAGTCACGACCACGCAGCGGGTGCGGCGGAGGGCAGGCAGCACGGGCACGATCAGCTCGTCGAACTTGGCCGTCGCCTCGGCGACGTGCAATCCGTGCATGTCGACGTAGAGGGGCCTTGACTCACCCGCGTCCGACCCCATCCCCAGGCCTTCGTCGTTCAGCGTCGCAAAGATGCTCGCCGCCGCGTTCTGCTGCGCCGCCCGGAGCTTCCCCCGCAGCTCGTCGCAGCGGCCGCGGCAAGACCGCCACTCGGCGGAGAAAGCGCCCGGCCCGAGCCTCTCATCGCGCTTGTCCAGCGTCGCGAGCCTCTTCTCCTCCTCCTCCAGCTCCCTCCGAAGCGCGACGACGGGCCGCCTCGCCTCGAGGTATATCTCCTGCTTGCGACCCGAGTCGAGGCTGCCTCTCGTCCGCTCCGCCGCACCGTCAGCGTGCCGCGAGAGCATCTCGAAGAGATCCTGCCCCACCGCCGCAGAGTCGAGGCGGTGGTGCACGAGCATCGCCGGAACTGCGTCGTCGAGGCCTGGTGCGACGGCGGCGAGGTGTCCGGCAAGGAGGCGGAGGTGGTCCGACGCCTGGTAGGCCTGCAGCGCGAGGTTTTCGACGGTGGCCGGGTCGAGGAGCAGCTTGCATTGCGGGCATTGGAAGCGGGTGGTCACGCCCTGCCCGTGAGGCACGAGCGGGTCCTGCTGCTCCTCACTCGCGGGGACCATCTCACGCATGAGGCAAAGGCAGGCTGCGCACGTCGCGTGTCTGCACTCGAGCACGGCCACGCTCACGTCTAACAGGCTAGACCACTTTTCTTTGCAAATGGGGCACTCGCCGTCGGCGTCGCCGTTCCACGAGAAGCCCGAGTTGTCGAGCAGCATGTCGCCACGCACCAGCTGCGCCGAGTCGGCCGCCGCCACGGTCTCCTTGCCCGCCTGTCTCTCGCGCAGAGCGACGGACTCCTCGACCCGCTCCATCGCGGGCAGACGCTCGCGGGCGGCAATCAGCAGCCCCTCCGTACCCTCCGGCAAAGCAGAAGCGTGCGGCGTGGCGGCCTCCACCGCCCGCCTCAGGTGCGAGGCGTCTCCCGTCTCGGAGGTCAGCACCGCGACGAGCGCGTCCCAACTGTCTTCTCCGGACGCGGCAACAGCAGCCCCCTTGGCTTCCGCGATTTGCCTGCGCCGCTCCCTGCGCCTGTCGGACTCGCGCCGCCGAGGCGGAGGAGGGGCGTGCGGTGGCGGAGATGCAGTGCCCTGGAGCTCGTCCTGGCCGCCACCGCTTTCGGCTGCAAGTACCGCGCGCGTCCCGAGCACGCTTCTGCACGTGTCGATCTCCGCTTGATCGCCGTGGCTCGAGGGGCCGGATGATGCGATTGTTTCCGCCTCTGCCAGCGCCGCCACGCCCGAGGAAGCTCCGCCGACGCCCACTCCGACGATGTCGATGTCGCTCGCAGACGGCTCTACCGGCTCAAAGTCCGGCTCATCCCCACTATCGGCCGCGGGCAGCGGACGCACATTGCTCGGCTTGACCGACAGGACCCTCGCAGCGCCGCCCGACGGGGGCCGATCGACGAGCTGCACAGGGAGGCGCCCCGCCTCGCTGAGCTCTCCTGTGACGGCTGCCACCTTGCCGTTGAGGGCGGGCTCCGACCGAAGAGAGTGCAGCTCGACGCGGCTGCCCACCGCAGGCACATGCACATGCACATGCGCATGTGCATGCACATGCGCATGTGCATGTGCTGCTGCATGCGAGGTCGAACCACTTCCCCGTGCCTCGCGCGCCTCTGCCGCCTCCGCAGCCGCTGCAACCTCGCGTGTGGCCGCCGCAGCCTGTTCGGCCACCGCCGTCTCCTCCTCCGCCTCTGCTGCGGTCGACGAGTGCTCCTCGAGGGCGCGCATGCACTCGACGTGGCCCTCCTCCTGGGCCCGCTGAAGCGCCGTCTTGCCGTCAACCGTGCGCGCCGCAGCGTCTGCGCCCGCCCGTAGCAAGCGGGGCACGACGGCGGGGTGGTTGAAGAGGGCGGCCATCATCAGCGCGGTATCGCCGTCGCTGTCCTGAAGGTTGACTTCAGCGCCGCGCCGTATCAGCAAGTCGACTACCCGCTCACGGCCATCCTGGGCGGCGGCCATCAGCGCGGTGAAGCCGTTGCTGCTCTGCAGGTCGATCTCCGCGTCGTGCTGCAGCAGCAGGTCAACCACCCGTTCGTGGCCTTGATTGGCGGCCATCATCAGCGTGGTGCGGCCGTCGCTGGCCTGCAGGTTGACTTCAGCGCCGCGCCGGATCAGCAAGTCGACCACCTGCTCGCGGCCGTTGTTGGCGGCGGCCATCAGCGCAGTGTAGCCTTTATTGCTCTGCTTGTTGATCTCCGCGCCGCACTGCAGCAGCAGCTCAGCCACCCGCTCGTGGCCGTGGTGGGCGGCGAGCGTCAGCGCGGTGTCGCCGATGCTGTTCTGCAGCTTCACCTTCGCGCCGTGCCGCAGCAGCAACTCGACCACCTGCTCGTGGCCGTTGACGGCGGCGGCCATCAACAGCGTGATGCCACTCACGCCGCCTCTCTCGTACGTCGCGTCGGCCCGTCCGCCGCGATCGAGCCACGTCAGCAGCGCCGGCTCGTCGCCTCGCTCCGCCGCTGCGATGACCTCTTCGGAGACTGCCGCGGCACCGCTCGACGCCCGCTCCGCCGCCGCCGGCGACAGATTACCCGGCCGGACTAGCACGCTCTCGCCGCCGCCCTCGAGCGCCACCGCGTATCGCCCGCCCTCAAAGCTCCGCGCCTCGCCCAGTCGCCCGTTCAGCTCGGGGCGGGAAGAGAGCCCTTGGAGTACGACCCGCCGCCCGAGCAGCGGCGCGTCTTCAGCCGCCGCGGCCGCGCCTGCTCCGCCTTCTGCAGCCGCCGCCGCGACCACTGCCGCCTCAGACAAGACCTTGGCGCACTCGGCGTGGCCCTCCTCCTTGGCCCACTGCAGCGCTGTCTTGCCGTTCGTATCGCGCGCCGCCGTGTCTGCGCCAGCCCGTAGTAAGCGCCGTTCGACGGCGGGGTGGCCGCACATGGCGGCGTACATCAGCGCGGTGCCGCCGACACCGGTCTGCAAGTTGACCTCTGCGTCTTGCCGAATCAGCAAGTCGACCACCCGCTCGTGGCCTTGGGCGGCGGCGCACATCAGCGCGGTCCAGCCACTGCTGCTCTGCAGGTTGACCTCTGCGCCGCGCCGAATCAGCAAGTCGACCACCGGCTCGCGGCCGTTCTGGGCGGCGGCCATCAGCGCGGTGCTGCCGCGACTGTCCTGCAGGTTGACCTTCGCGCCGTGCTGCAGCAGCAGCTCGGCCACCCGCTCTTGGCCTTCCTGGGCGGCGTTCATCAGCGTGGTGCTGCCGTTGCTGTCCTGCAGGTTGACATCAGCGCCGCGCCGTATCAGCAGCTCGACCACGCGCTCGTGGCCGTTGCTGGCGGCGTTCACCAGCGCGGCCAAGCCGTTGCTGTTCTGCTGGTTGACCTCCGCGCCGCGCCGCAGCAGCAGTTCGACCAGCCGCTCGTGGCCGTATACGGCGGCGCCCATCAGCAGCGTGAGGCCGCTCAAATCGCCTCTCTCGTACGTCGCGTCGGCCCGCCCGCCACTGTCGAGCCACGCCAGCACCTCCGCCTCCTCGCCTTGCTCAATCGCTGCGATGACCTCGTCGGAGAGTGCCGCGGCACTGCTCGGCTCCGCCGCAGCCGGCGACAGATTGCCCGGCCGCACCCGCACGCTCTCGCCGCCGCCCTCGAGCACCGCGTACCGGCCTTCCTCAAAACTCTGAGCCACGCCCCCCTGCCCGTTCAGCTCGGGGCGGGCCGAGAGTCCGCCGAGCAGCGGCGCGTCTGCAGCTGCCGCTGCCGCGCCCGAGGAGGCGCCGCCCGCCCCTGCTCCGCCTTCTGCAGCCGCCGCCGCGACCGCTGCCGCCTCGGACAAGACCTTGACACATTCGGTGTGGCCCTTCATCCTGGCCATCTGCAGCGCCGTCGGGCCTGAAGCGTATAGATGGGGGGGCACTCACACCACTCACACCTTGAGCTGTGGTGACGGTGGCATTGATCCGCCCGTCGCCCTCGAGCCACGCCAGCACCGCCGCCTCGTCACCTCCCTCAACGGCTTGAGCAAGCCACTGCACGGTCCAACTATCATTTGGGGCGAATCGGAACGCGCCAACACATGATAGCAAGGTAAAAGCTGCCGTGTTTCTTTTTTATCCAGGGGGGGGGTCTCGACGAAACACAACACTCGATTCTCATCGGTTGCGCACGCACGCACGCACGCACACACACACACACACACACACACACACACACACACACACACACACACACACACACACACACACACACACACACACACACACACACACACACACACACACCACCTCTTCTCCTCGTACTGCAACCGTGTGAGTGAGTGAGTATTCTTGATACGAAACCACGACGACACACACCAGTCGACTCGCATCGGTTGCCTCCATGAACGGCGGAGCTATTCTCGCGCCCACACCACACCTGGCTCCAACGTGGACACGCCCATAGCTGGGGACACTACTAGGTCACGCATGGCATCAGAATACACACACACACACACACACTCACTGCAACCGCACCCCCCCCCCCCCCACACCCTCTTCTTTGGTGTGGCAGCAGCCTGCTCTTTGGCTTCCGCCGCTCCTCAGCCTGGCTCGGCCCTCTGGCGCTCCGCAATGGCATACGGAGGCCTCACGCTCGAGCAGGCCGAGGAGATCAAGGCGGCGGTCAACCGGGTCAAGAAGCAGAGCTTCAACTCCGACACGACGGTCCACGGGTGGCGGATCACCTACACACTGCGCGTCGGCGGTCACTCCGACCGGAACCGCGGCGACTTCTGCCTGCACGATCCGCGTAACGGCAAGAAGATCCACTCGATCATCGCCTTCGAGCGCAACATTGGCCTGCGCGAGCCGGAGCCCGAGCCGGTGCCAGTCGAGGCGTGTTTGGACGACGACAGCGACGACGGCGACCCTCCGGGCGCAAAGCGGGCGCGGTGGACCCTCACGGGTGATCGGCCTCGCCGGGCGTCCGCCGGCACCGTCAACTATGCGGAGGCGGCCAACGGCGCGTGGGGTATCGGGGGCGGCCGCGCCGCCGCGGACCAGGCGCGCATGCCGCCAAGAGAGAGGGAGAGAGAGAGAGGGAGAGGGCGTGGAGAATAGCACAGCCCAGTGTCTGCGGGCGGCGCTGGAACGTACCCGGGACGGTCGACGGCTGTAGGTGCTGGCTGCGGTCCGGCGCGAGGAGGAGGCGGCGGCCCGCGCGGCTGCCGGCCACCGCGTCGAGGGCGCCGCCGCCGCCGGCCGCAAGTCGGTCGACTTGGTTGGGCTCTGCACCGCGATTGTCGGAGAGCGGCCCGCCGCGAACGGGTCGGCGGGGCACGAGGCTCCGCCGCCGCCGCTGCCGGTCTCGCCGCTGCGGTGCGCGCTGACGGGGCCGTGAACGGCGTCTCTTCACAGCTGCGCGCGTGAACAGGTCTCTTCAGTGCGGTACGCGCTGACTGGTCTGCTCCGCTCGGGGCGCGTGCG